ATGCAAAAGAATTCAACAAAAACCTTGTTAAATGTCAAAATTGTCAAGAAAACAAAAGATGAGGGTAAAAAGTGAAAATTCTATTTTTAAAAGGGCCAAACAGGTCCTACATGTAATAAAAGGTATTTTTATGCTAAACATGCTTTTAAAAGGGTCAAAAATGAAACTTTAAGCTCATTGGGCCAAACTTTTGGGCCTCACAGCCTTTGGGCCCAATTTGCGGAAAAATGGAGATTTAAGGTTTAAAAATGTTATTTGGCCCAAGTTTGAGTCCTAAATGTAAATAAACCAAATTTAGAGGTGAAAATATCAATTATTTTCAAATTGGACCAAAAATGTAAAGTTTTCCAAAATTGGGCCGAAAGTGTAAATTTTTACCAATAAGGGGCTGAAAATGTATTTTTCTGCGAAAGAGGGTTTTAAATGTGAAAATATAACATTTTGGGTTAAAACCGTAAATTTATAGACATTTGGGACAAAATTGCAAACTTTTATAAATTATGGACTAAAGTGTCATTTTTACAAAACTTTGGGCCTAATTTATTAATTTGAGAATTGTTGGCCAAAATATTGTTTTTACAAAAAGAGGATTTTTATCAACAATCTATTGAACTTCAAGTCAAAACAAACAACGGAATAAAACAAAACGAATGAAATACAACAATAACGATTTATTGGGCCTAATATACACAGTACTTGGCCATTGAACCCTAAGGGCCCAATTAAGTGTATATTGAGCCCATTGCTTTCCATGATGTGTTTATTGGGTCTTGCGACCCATTTACATGTTAATTTGGGCCTAAGCATTGGATTACATGTTATTGGGCTTTTGTGTCCCATTTACACACCTATTGGGCCTTAATTACCCTTTTACATGTTATTGGACCTTTGTGGTCCAACTACATGCTAATAGGGCTTGGAATGGAAATTTCACATGTTAATATGACCGTAACTATACCTTTGCGAAATCATTAAATGTCGAATACTTTTATATGTACCTTTCAAAGACAAAAACATACAACATATACGTAAACATTAAACATAGAACAAAAAGGGGTTAAGAATCTAGTGAGACATGTCGGTTGGCACCTCTGAGTGTACAATCATAGCCTGTAGTTATAATCAGAGTTTCCTGGTAGGAAAGCATGAGTTTTTGTATAGATCTATACGGGGTGACCCCCCACGCCTTCGTTGTTCGCTACAGCTAGACTAGGCCAGTCTAGGGCGACAACATCCTCAGCCAAGACCGGCATTTGGAAAAATACCAAGACGGGCGACCTAGTCATTATCATGTATGGTTATAACGGCTCATAAAGGGATTCAATACCAAAAGATAACATTTTGAAGATAAATTCTTTAATTGTGTCAATACAATGACTTATCTAACGATACAAAAATCTAAACGATGTTATAAAACAGAAAATATCGGATTTTCTGGGGAGATTATTCATATACATTTATCATTTATTCAAAATGCAATGAACCTAAACTACACTCATACAAGAATTTAACTTTTAAATTCACACATGCATTTATACTCGATTTTCACATCATTTTCAAAACATTTTTCAGAAGATATCGAATTTTCTGGGTTTTATGAAAGAAACAAAGACTTTTACTCAAATATACTTATGAAATCACCAACATTATATATGTTGACCGTTTTCAAAATAACTTGTATTCTTAGGTAATCGTTAAGCTGGAAGATATGCAAGTGTGTATGGTTTTGTTTATGTAATATCACTTATCGTACTTTGAACAATTAGAACTTATGTATTTTAACAATGTACTTGATGTGAACAATGCTGGTTGTATTATGTAATGTTGGTGATGAATGTGTTATGTTTCATGTATATTCATTGTGATGATTATTCAATTGTTAGAACTTATGTATTGAATCCCTTTTAGCCCCACTTGGTAAACTTGTTAAACTGTAAGTCAAAAAAACTCAGTGACCAAATTTATATACATTGAAAAAAACTCAGTGACCAAATGTGTACAGTTTACGTTCTTGATCATAAGGACTGGATGTTTACGTTCTTGTTTCAATTTGTACACATTTGGTCACTGAGTTTTTTTCGTCCACATTTACCCATTCAAATTGTTAAACTCTAAACATCCAGTCCTTATGACCAATTAGTCCAGGTTAGCCGTGAAAAATGACTTATTAGGGTAATATATTTCTCATTTTGTACACATTTAGTCCTTAATAATTTTGTACACATTTAGTCCTTAATTTTTTTTTTGTTTCAAAATAAGTCTCTTTTTGTTTTTGTACCCATTCGGTACTTATGAATGATTTATTTAGGGTTTTTCTCACGACATCTTACGTGAGACTATCATTGGTGAGGTGTTTGGGGGCTGTTGATGCTTATGTCCATCGCGACCTCGACTGCTTGGTTGCATAGGTCTTGTGGTTTGACTTAGGTTTTGTGTTCCGAACGTCGTAACTTCTTCATACGATATCTGATTTTAACGATCTTTATATCCACGTGTTCGTTTTTTAAGTCTGCTACAACTTTCGTTAAGATTACTTCCGTTAAAATATAATATGTTTTTACTTACGATTTTATAAAAAAACATCCATACATGCATTCATAAAAAACGTATGGATATAAAGATCGTAAGTAAAAAATATATTACTTTTTAACGGGAGTAATCTAAACGAAAGTTGTAGTAGACTAAAATACAAACGCATAGATATAAAGATTGTTAAAATCCGACATAGTATGAAAAAGCTATGACGTTCAAAACACATGATCTAAGCAACCAAGTAGTCGAGATCGCGATGTACATAAGCATCAAAAGCCTAAAACACCTCGTTAATGATTGTTCCACGTAAGATGTTGTGAGAAAAATCTAAAGAAATTATTCATAACTATTGAATGAGTACAAAAATAAAAATAAATTATTTTGCAAAAAAAAAAAAATTAAGGATTAAATGTGTATAAAAATATTAAGGACTAAATGTGTACAAAGTGAGAAATATATTATCCTGTTAAGTCATTTTAACCTGCTAACCTGGAATAGCCGGCCATAAGGACTGAATGTGTACAGTTTAACAAGTTAAAGGGGTAAATGTGGACTAAAAATAAACTCGGTGACAAAATGTGTACAAATCGAAGAATATATTACCCTTTTAAGTCATTATTCCTAAATTTGAAGTTATAATAACTTCAAAATTTTGATATACATCTTAATTAATAATTTTTTTAAAATGATTTTATTTAAAATAATTGATTAATAATTATAAATTTTTATTATGAAAGTTTAATTAATTTTACAAACCATGGTTCCACGGGATATAAACTAGTGAATTATAAATGAAGATAGCCTAAACGACTTTTAATGACTTTTAATGGCAGACTTGTAATTTATTGATATTTGTAGCAAGATTATTTTATAACATTGATATTTTAATTTATTTATTATGTTAATGTAATATTTTTTTTCTAATTTATAATTGCTATAATGTAAAATATAATTTTTATTTTGATAATCTTGTAATATTTTTTATATTTATTTTGTGTCCATATATTTCCATCATATTATTGAATTTCATTTATTTCGTTCATTTATTTATAGTGGAAGTCGTGATTCTTAGCCGGACTTTATGGATATTTCATAATTTTATGGTGTTTAAGGAGAAGACGAGACGAAAAGATATATTTTTAATACTATCAAACTTCTTTCTTTTACTTGGTTAAAGTCTAAAAATTCTAATGTTGTTTTAAACTCTAATAACTAACTTTTGTATCCTTTATTCCATAATGTCCAGTAAATTGCTAGCATGTAGGTAGTTTTCTATTAAATCTTGCTGTTAAAAAAAAACAGACAATATAAATCAAAGATTCATTTCATTTCACCAAGAGTAATTACACATGAAAAACTATCAAGGAACAATGTTTACCTTGTCCTTTTTTTTTTTTTTTTTTTTTTTTTTTTTTTTTTGAACCGACAATCTAATCTACTCCTAAGCTAACAACACCTATTCCATCTTTGTCCACGACAAAAAGATACTGCTGGGCTACAAGCCCTTTGGTCACCTTGTCCATATAGTATGTTCCATTTGCTTATCATTTCATTCTATAATACAAAAAAGACCAATTACCTTTTTTTTATTGACAAAATTGCAAAAATGGTCCCTGTGGTATGCATTTTTTTGGGGTTTTAGTCCAAACCACGAGTTTTTTGGTTTCGTGGTCCTTTTGGACTGGTTTCGTTGCATTTTTGGTCCATTTGAATAGTGAAATGACTGTAATACCCTTGGGGTATTTATTTTCCATTTTTCTTTCATCTCTTTTTAAATTAAATACCAATTTATTTATTTTAATAATTAAAAAAATAACAAGGGCCCACATTATCTCTCTCTCTCTCTCTCTCTCTCTCTCTCTCTCCCTCTCTCTCTTTTCTCTCTCTCTCTCTCTCTCTCCCTCCCCAATAATGCGATCATACAAACCCAGATCTTGAGATGAACCGTATGAAGATCTGGGTTCAGATTCAACAAACATATACACTAAAACCCATCTCAAACATGATTTTCTTTTAATAACATTTGAAGATACAATAGCAACAAGAAAAACATATCAAATTTTCTAGGTTCTGAAATCACATACACTCATCAGATTTTCTAGACTTCTTCAAAATACACATACACTTAAAACCTATATCCATCTTCCAGATCAAATTTGAAAAAGGAGTAATTGAAATACAAATCCATCACCTTCAACCATCGACCCTCCCAAATCCATCTATTAGACCATTTTCGAAAAAAATTAAGCAAAAAAAAAAAAAAAAACACCGGAAGAAGAAAGGATATGAAACTAATCAGTAGGAGGAGAAGAAATCATATCTAGCTTCCTTTTCTTCCAACATTTCAATGGGGCAAGGAGAAACATCCAAGCACAGATGATGAAATCCTCCGAAAGCCCCCAAATTCGTTTGTGGCTTCAATTGATTCTGGCGATACCAATAGATTAGGACAAACAACGAAGACACAAATGATGGTGGTGGTGTCGTTTGCTTTCATTCTCTTGCACCAAAGGAACGAAAGGAGTCAGACACAGCGAGTAGGAGCGACGGTGGAAGCGAGAAGGGTGGAATCGTGAGTCAGTGGGGATGAAGCTTTCATTCTGTTTGTAGCACCACCAGAAATCAAGACTTAGGTGTAGTACCATCGGCGATTTAGGTGTATTCCCTAGGAGAAGATGAGCAGGTGAGCGAAGAAGAGGAGATGAATGGTGGGGATGAAGGTTTGTTTGGACATTGGTATGAGGACGAACATGATTTTGAGGATGCAACAATAAATGGTCTGTTCTTGATTTCACGAGAGAGAGAGAGAGAGAGAAAGAGAGAGAGAGAGAGAGAGAGAGAGAGAGAGAGAGAGATGTAGGCCCAAATTAATTATTTATTTTCTTTTTCATTTAAATTAAATAGAAAAAAGCATAAAAATATATCAGAAGGGCATTATAGTCATTTCAATTTTACGAGGGACCAAATTTACGTACAAACATGGCCAAAAGGACCACGAATCCAAAAAAATCAGGATTTGAACTAAAGCCCCAAAAAAACGCATACCACAGGGACCATTTTTGCAATTTTGTCTTTTTTTATTCCACAATCTTAAGCAACTTTGCTTACTTTTTTTCTTAATTATTTTAGAAGACGGTGATGGTGGGTTTGTGTCTTCGTTGGCAAAACAAATTATTTTTCCTTATTATTTATAATTAATGATACTTAAACCTAAATAAAATATTTGAATCCAAATTAAAAAATTCATAAAGAATGTTTTTTCTTGATAATATTATGTTGGGTGCTACTCTTACAAAATCCAATTTAGGGGTCCACTGAAGATTAAACCAATAATCAACCCCATCTTCGTTGGCACAACAAAACACAAACGAGCAGCATTTAGAATTCAGAGAGAGAGAAAGAGTTCATCTCCACCACCCATCGAACGCTTCAAGGGCATTATTTTCAGGCTAAAATTAGGTAATCTCTTTCTAGATGTTGATCGATCTCCAGTTAATTCGTTCACCCCCTTTCTTTAGGGTTTTCTGCTCCCCACATTTCTTGTTTCACGTTTGTCTCAACAAAGTCTTTACTCCTGTTATTCGATTTCCCCCTTTTTCATTTCCATTTCTCCAGGGTTTGTTTGTTTGTTTGTTTCGTAATGTTTTCTGAACAAACGTCGACGCGATTCTTGTTTGTAGCTAAACAACCGTGAATTTGTCAGAGTGATCGGAAGAGGAAAAAAAATAGAAGATAGAAGAAGAAGAAAAACGAACAACGGGATTTCTTGACCTGGTGTGTTTATCCGTGATCAGGTCTTCTGAGCGAAGAGAAGATCTGAGGCTCAATTGAAGAAATATGAGCGCTTCTAGATTCATAAAGTGCGTCACAGTCGGTGATGGCGCTGTCGGGAAGACCTGTCTCTTGATTTCCTACACCAGTAACACCTTCCCCACGGTAATCATCTCTTCATCAACCGCCTTCAGTTTATGTTCATTTTTTGAATTTCGTCTGAAGTTTTGACTATATAGAATGAAGAATCTATCTATCTGTTCTAATGTTGTTTGTGTTTAGGTGAACAACAAACCAGAATATACTCAATTTACTAATCTCCTTCTTTCCCAATTTCAAATTCACCATGATTGACATTTTCAATTTGTGCGGATGAATTTGTTTATATCCATCTACAGATCGAGGAAAATCAATTATCCTCAATTATCATTTCATCCACAATCATGGATTCATATCTCATGATTCTCATCACACGAATTATGACAAAAATCTAGATTATCGAATACTTATTTGTGTTTTTGTTGTATACGAAACCTAATAGTATCTTTATACATTCGAATTGAATCCCAATTTTTGTTTCTTCTTTGTGTTATAAACAGGATTACGTCCCAACTGTATTTGATAATTTCAGTGCCAATGTCGTTGTCAATGGCGCCACTGTGAATCTTGGCTTGTGGGATACTGCTGGTAAACTTATGAAATCTTTATAAACAATTAACAATTAATCAACTTTATATATATATATATATATATATATATATATATATTTATTTATTTTTATTAATTAAGATATAAATGGTGAAAAATTGAAATTCTGTGAACAGGACAGGAGGATTACAACAGATTAAGACCATTGAGTTATCGTGGAGCTGATGTTTTCATTTTGGCATTTTCCCTCATCAGCAAAGCCAGCTATGAAAATGTTTCCAAAAAGGTAACAATTTTGGCATTTTTTTTCCTTTAAAAAAAAACATTTGATAAATGTCTTGAATTAAATGGAGTATTTTTTTTTTTTTTTTTTTTTTTCAATTCTCAGTGGATTCCAGAGTTGAAGCATTATGCCCCTGGTGTCCCGATTGTTCTTGTTGGGACAAAACTCGGTGAGTTAATAAATAAATTAATGTCTAAATGTGAGTAAATGACCATTTTACCCTTGCTATATAGATCTTCGGGATGATAAGCAGTTCTTTGTAGACCACCCTGGTGCAACTCCCATAACTAATGCTCAGGTAAAGATTATCACTCCATAAACTTTATGACATATGCAAGAAATAGCAATCTACTTTAATTCATTTGTTTATAATAGAGTAAATTACACGAAATGGTCCCTATGGTTTGGGGTAATTTACACGTTTGGTCCCTAACTTATTTTTTCACTCGGAAGGTCCATATAGTTTGTTTTTGTTGCGCGTTTGGTCCCTGTCTTACCTAAAAAGACTATTTTGCCCTTGATTTTTTAATTTATTTAAATAAAGTAGGATAGGTAAGGTAAAGTAAGGTGAGGTGGAAGTGGGGTCGGGGTTGGGGTTGGGGTGTGTTTATTTATATAAATTAAAAAAATTAATGGTAGAATAGTCTTTTTAGGTAAGACAGGGACCAAACGCGCAACAAAAACAACCTGTAGGGACCTTCGGAGTTAAAACAATAATTTAGGAACCAAACATGCAAATTACCCCAAACTATAGGGACCATTCGTGTAATTTACTCTTTATAATAAAACTAAAACTCAAAGTATAATGCTATAAATAGTTAAAATTTTCAAATTTCAATGCCTTCATAAGAGAAAAAGATAGAATAATCTTTTGTTATTCCAAACTTTGTTAGAAAGAAATGGAAGTAGGATGTTATAAAATTACACAAATGGTCCTTGAGGTTTGTTGTATATTGCAGATTTGGTTCAAGGGTAAATTGGTCTTTTCATAAAAAGTAACAGCTGAAAACTTAGTTTTAACCTCAGAAGGACCATTTCGAAACCATAGGAACCAGTGGCGTGACTTTTTCCATAGTTGTCCTCAAAGTGCGATATTTTGCAAACCACAGGGACCAATATGAAATTTTGTCTAAGTTATAATACACAAGTATATGAAAGTATATTGCTATTTCTTTCATATATTGCTAATTTAATTTTCTTTATTCCAATATTTTTGAACTTATTATAGGGAGAAGAGCTAAAGAAGACAATTGGAGCACCTGAATATATTGAATGTAGTTCAAAAACACAGGAGGCATGTATACTTTTCCATATTAAAAATATAGAAATTTAGTGTTTCTTTATTATAAAAAATATGTTTTTATTTGGCAGAATGTGAAGGGAGTTTTTGATGCTGCGATAAAAGTCGTTCTTGCCCCTCCAAAGTCAAAGAAAAAGAAGAAAGCGGGTCAAAAGGCTTGCTCTATATTATGATTGGATGTGAGGTCAATGGAGAGAAGACCTAGCTATGTTTTTTTTACCTTTTTGTCCCTCTTTTCTCGCTCTTTCAAAGGAAGTCATTGAGGCTAACAAAGTCAAAAGAAAATTGTCATGGATGGATTCATTTCTGAATTCTCATATATTCATTAATTTGTATTTGATCTTTCGATTCTTGGAGATGCTCTTTATGTACTAATCTTGTAGTTGGCCTAAATGATATGCTTGTTATCATCTTCTTTATGCATTTACTTGTTGATTTGTTCACATGGGTGTTTGTTTGTTATTCTTTTGTAGTGATTTTAGTTTATTATATTTTAATTGTGATTTGAGCGATTATTCTTATTCCCTCAACCATTACATGTTGTATTGATGACGTCATCTTAGCGTTTTCAACTCTTTTGATGTTGAATTAGTGGAGAATGAAGATGTAGACAAATATATTCTCACTTTTGCCTTTCAATTAAAATGAATAGGAAAGGGAAACTACACAAACATTCAACTTATTGTTGATGCTAAAAATAACATTACATCATAAAAGCTTATGTGGTTTAACAATTGCAGTTTCTAGAACCATTGACGACACTATGGGGGTGTTTGGGATCTATTTGATTCTTGGCAGCCCAATTTCCGTTCCACATTTATAATTTTTAATGTAAATGACCATTCTCAAGTTAGCGTCGACGTGGCGCCACATCAGACGTCCCTGTCCAATCAGCGCCAAGTGGCGGTCCCACTCATACATATGACCGGCTTGACTTGCTAAAAAGACATAAACGAACAAATTAAACAAAACTTAAGGCATTACTGAACCTAAAACTCCTCAAAGGGTAAATCCAAACATTTTCGGAAAACTTAGGGGCTCGTGGTCTACGTGGCCACGAACGTTGTTTGTGCACACCACCTCGACCATTCGTGGTCGGGCGTTTTCGTGGTCCTCCGTGTTGCCTTTGACGATCGATCACGACCAATCAAACACATTTCTTACCTTTTAGTCATTCAACGGCCAAAAAATTGAATTTATTAATTTTTTCTAAATATATAAACCTTAGCTATATAAACACCACATTTACACAAACCTTTTTACATTCAAACCATATACTCTCTTAAAAAACATATTTACGGATTTCTTTAAGAATTTCGATTCCGACGCCGTCATAGAATTCATCTCGACGTTCTTCAGTGTTGTCCAACACATATACGATGAAGAAAATTCGTTTATTTCGCATTCAAGAGCGGCTGTCAATCGAGATCGTCATGCCACACATGACTTATTGGTACGTGATTACTTTGTCGATAATTGTCTTTATAACGATGTCTCGTTCAGGCGTCGTTTTTGTCTCAATAAGGTTGCATTTTTACGTATTAGTAATGCTTTAGAGGTTTGTTATGATTATTTTAAACCAAAAACTCGATGCTAGAGGAATAATGAGTTTTAGTAGTATAGAAAAATGTGCAGCTGCAGTTAGATATTTGGGATACAGTATAGCCTTTGATGCATCCGACGATTATTTGAAAGTATCCTAGAGGACCACAATTTGATTGTGTATATTGGTTTTGTGCATGTGTGTATGAGTTTTTTCACCAGAATATTTGCGTAAATCTACTGCAAATAGTATTTAGAAATTATATTTGGCTCATGATGACAGGCATGGATTACCGGGAATGATTGGTAGCATTGATTGTACGCATGTCGTGTGGGAAAAATGTCAAAATGCATGACACAGTCAATTTACTCGAGGTGATATAGGTGATCCAAGTATAATACTAGAACCTGATGTATCTCAGGATTTGTGGATATGACATTCGTTCTTTGGAGTTGTGGGGTCTAACAACGATACTAATGTTCTTGGTCAGTCTTCTATTTTCCACAATATTTTGACCGACAAAGCACCTGATATGTCGTTCATGGTGAACGGGTATTCGTAAAAATATGATTACTACTTTTGTGATGGGATATACCTTGATTATTCTACATTAATGAAGGTATACTCGGTTCCGCAAAGTGGAAAGACAAAGTTGTTCACAAAAATGCAGGAATCGGCTAGGAAGGATATCGAAAGGGCATTTGGAGTCCTCATGCATACATGACATGTAATGAAATACACTACATGACTATGGGATAAGGATAGAATTAAGCAAATGGTAAATGAATGTATTATAATGCATAATATGCTTATTGAAAATGAAGGTAGAGTGATCTGCACGTATGCTACGGACGATGTAGTTATCCTAATTGAAGAGTTTGTACCCGGAACAACTGAATTTTTAGCACTGAGTTGTTGAAATTCATAACGGTAAAACGTGTTTCAATCTTCTAGAAGATGTCGCGAATCAATTGTACCAACAAAACATGAACGAAGATTAGTTTTTTTTTTATGTTTTTTTGTTTTTTTTTATTCTATCTTTTTTTAAGTAATATAGTTTTTTAAATTAATGTAATGTTTTTTATTGAATGAAATAGTTAAAAAAAACTGTATGGTTTCATTGTATTTTTGAATTAAAAAAATGATGTTGAATGGAGTGTTAGTTGTAGGTTCCTATAATTTTAATAGTTGAATGTGGTGATGATGTGACACCTACCACTGTAGTGGTTAGTGGTGAATATTGTGGATGACCTATGAACCTTTAAAAATATTTATCAAAAGTCTTTCAAAAAGGAGATTCCAATAAGTTAGGATTTCTAATTTTTCAAAACTCCTTAGGCTAAAGGGAGTGATAACATATTTAACACCTTGCCATGTCACTTTTTTAAGTGCCACATCATTTTTTTTGTCTTAACACCCAATTCTTAGCATTTCATAAGGAGTGGTAACACTCCTAGCATTTCATTTTTATATTTTCTTTTTCAAATTTAATTAAATTATATTTTTTAATGCACAAACATTTAATATTACAAAAATTCTATTTTTTTAAATACAAGCACTTAATATTTAAATAAAAAAGATTACTATAATTTAAAACATAATCTAAATAAAAAGGTTTATGTTTTTGGACAAAAAATACAAAGTTGTTTAAACTTTGGGACAAAAAATATCAAGTTGTAGAAACTTTGGGGACCAAATATGTAAATTTTTTATCTTCTTCCCCAGGTCTCTTTCCCAATTCTCTGTTAACGCAAAACACAAGTTTTAGCAACAAAAATCAAATCTTCGACACCTCCCATCTGCCAAAAACGGAGGAATGGACATGCAATCCGGTGAAATACCCCTCATCCAATCACAAGCCAAACAAATACTCTCTCACATCTCGTTAAGCTGGCAGCGAATGATCCATGGCGAGCCCCCTAGCGAGCGCTAGGGGGCGGTTTTCCAAATGAGTTAGCGACCACGACGAGTTTGTTTGGCACTTCGACTCCTTTCAGCCTTATAAATTTTTGGGTTGTAAAAGTCAAATTCTCCTTAAAACATGTATAACACAAACATATTTTAACTTATTAACTTATTGACTTTTTTCACTACAAAAGATAATCCAAACACTTTGAAAAAAAGATAATGTCATAAAAAGCCTTAAGTTTGATAGAAAATGTCGGTTTTACATTTCGACATATTTTTGATTCGTTTATACCGCAAACTTATCATTTTTTTGTCGGTTTTGCCATTTTTACTTGTAATATCAGGTTTGCAGGTTACCATAAATTATTTTTTGCGAAAAAACCCTTAAGTTTATAAATATTTTGCAAAAAAACCCTTAAGTTTATAAATATTTTGCAAAAAAACCCTTAAGATTATAAAAGTATAAAATATAAATATATATTCAAAATTTGATAAAACTAAATAGTTTTTAAAAATTGAATTGTCAAAACTTTATATCAAACTAATATAAGTTTTACTATACTTATATTATGAAACCAAAACTGAAATATATTGTTAGCTTTACGTACGACAAATTATATATTGGTTCGATATAAACTTTTTATATTTAAATTTTAAAAAATTTACCTAGTTTTAACAAAATTTGAATATATTCCTTAATTAATACTTAAACTTTTCAAAGCAAAATTAAAAAACGTCTGTTAGCTAATAATTAACTATGCTAAAATAGTTAAACATATGAATAATATGACATTAATTAAAGTCAATTAATTTTTTTAAAAAGAAAATAAAAATATTTTATATGTTTGTATTTTAAAAATAATAATGTATCATAAGGCTGTGGGGTGTGATAGTGTTTTTACCCGAACAATCCTGTGTGACAGCTTTTACTGGCGGTGAACACCGCTCTGCCATGTGTTTTTTGCCGCCAGTATTTCACCAACGGTTACTATCCAACAACGGCAAAAATCCTATTGTGTCTTTCTCTCTCTCTACTCTCTCTTTTTACCTATCAACACCTCACCCTAAGGTTTTTTAAAGATGGTAAAAAATACAAATGTGTCAACATCATTGAGTTGGATGTATCGTGTCATCAGCACCACACCGTTTACACCGTTTAGCCTGAGGTTCAAAATGGAATCCCAAACACCTTTTATAATTTATGACAAAATGTTAGCTTTTTTCGGGAATAGCAGTTAATGTTTCTGGAAATTAATAATGACATGCAATTCTTTTGTGTTTTTTTGGGTTATTTGGTTGAGAAAAGTAAATTAACTAAAATATGAAAATATATTTGTTTTAGTGGACATAAAAATAACATTACGGATCTTTTTTTAAGTATTCGGGAAAATAAAAGTTGAGTTGATGGGTAGGGGGTATGTTGGACGTTTTCTTGATATCTAATCACTAAGTATTTTGACGTCAAAGATAGAGACTTTCTATTGTGTAGTGTTTGTATAAATTTGATAGAAGTATATTTGCGATGGTCTTTTTTGCCTTTTACACTAGTGGAGAATATGCTCATCGATGGGGAAAGAATTTGATTGAATTTTAGTGGAACATTATAATCAGCTGGATCAAATTAAGAGGAGTCAACCTTTTCTTTCAATTGGCCCGTTGCCCATACGCAATATGGTGGGGTTAGTTGATATAGTTGCTTAAACGCCTAACGTAAAGATGTCTGAGACTTTATAATTGTAGAAATAATCAAAGGTACGAGTTCGAATTGAGTAGCTGTAGTGTAAGTTTTAATTCATATGTTTATCAAGCTTGTTGTGGGCATTGAGCTCTTATGCCATACATCTAAGCTGTTGTATATATGATTTACATCTCATATGATGTTTTCTGGCGGGATAAAATACATGTAAAATCAATGGTTATAAAATAAGATACAAGTGAAGGATTAGCGACAAATTAGGGCTGATTCTTTTTTAGAAAAGGTCTTGTGAAAACTAATTATCGTTCTTTTGAAAAATATGTAAAACAAATACTATATTTATGTAAGTTAATGCGATGTAAATGAAAAAAAAAACCATGGTTTCGTGTAAGACCCTTTGCGAACGTTTCTTGGACTTACAAAATATACCTAATTTCTCCTTCACGTATCAAATTCAATGGTTTTAATTAAAAAGTAAGATTCGGGTCCAATTTGATGTGAAATTAATTGTATGGAGGTGATGAGAAAGAATCTTGTTGCTCTTGACCTACCTTGATCATGTTCTTCACTCAAATTTCCCATAGAATCTATACCTTCTCCACAAACTCTCTCTCCTATAAATACATCTCCAAACCAACAACTACATGCACAAACACATTTGTATTCTTTCATCTTACACACATATCATAGAATTATGGCTTCTAGGAGGATTCTGAAAGAGCTCAAGGACCTCCAAAGAGACCCTCCAGCCTCATGTAGTGCTGGACCGGTGGCTCAAGATATGTTCCATTGGCAAGCGACCATCATTGGACCAAATGATAGTCCCTACTCTGGTGGTGTGTTCCAAGTAACCATCCACTTCCCTCCTGATTACCCTTTTAAGCCACCAAAGGTACAAAGTCTATATATATATATATATATATATATATATATATATATATATTATATATATATATATATATATATATATATATATATATCTCCATGGCTACAAATTAGCCACTTCAAAGTTGTTTTCTTTTTATATATGAGGTAATTTGCTAATGGTGTTCTTTGATGATGCATGCATATAGGTTGCTTTTAGGACCAAAGTGTTCCATCCAAACATTAACAACAATGGTAACATCTGTCTTGATATTCTCAAGGATCAATGGAGTCCTGCACTCACCATATCCAAGGTTTTAATTCTTTTTTTTTTCTTCTATTTCAGAGTGTTGTTTTTGAACTTGATGTGTATCCCATTTTAAGAGCGTTATCTGAGATGTGAAAAGGGTACAAAACGCCTATTATGTGGTTGATATAAGAATATTTTTATCGACAACATCACAAATAAAACGAAAAAGAAAACAAAAAGTAAAAAAAAACATGGGAGCAACTATGTTTATTCTATTTTCCACATGGCATGCATTCATTGGTTGATTTACAGTTTTTTTTTGATAAAAGTTATATGGCTATTCATTTTTATTAAGAAAAATAAAATACACAAAAAAATTGCATTTTTCTCTAAATTAGAGCTTAGTATTGACATATGTTCATACAGATTCCACCTGTTAATTTCTAATCTCTTTAATTTCATATTACTTTCATTTTTGTTTCTTGGCAACAATTTATTTTTGTTAAGAAAGTCAATGTTTACTTTAATATATGATATATATATATTTTTTTCTGATTATAATTAGGGTTTTAGATTATGATATACTTTATTTTATATGGATGTTATTGTCTTAGACGGAATAAAAATTCATTATCAATGATAAAACATCAAATATAAAATAACGAAAAAGTTATTTAGTTTGGATTGGTTTCATTAATGAAGTATAGAAAATTGGAGGTGAGTTGAGGTTAAAGGCTATATATGTGGATGAGAGATTATAACTTTTTAATGAACAGTAGAGTGTAGGAGACAATATTAATGTCTTGTCCACTACGATTGTTGAGACTCAAACTTTCAGACACTACCCAATTGAAACAAGAAGTTTAATAGTATTTTCGTTTGTGGTTCATACAGGTTTTGTTGTCAATATGTTCACTGCTGACAGATCCGAACCCAGATGACCCGTTGGTCCCGGAAATCGCACATATGTACAAGATAGACAAGGTCAAGTACGAAGCCATGGCTCGAAGTTGGACTCAAAAGTATGCCATGTATTGAAAATTGAAGCAACAACTCTATGTAATGTAACTAATAACAAATTCTTGTATGAAGTTTGATGAGCATCACAAAATGGAAAGAAGTTAAAAATAATTACAAAAGAGGAATATGAAGGATGGTGATAATGTAATGGTTATGAAGGAGAAGTTGGAGTTTTTATTTGAATTTTGAATAAATAGTTCTATTTTTTCCAAGTGTTTGCCCCTCACTTGTAGCTAGAAGCATAAGATACCAATCGGATAACCATGGCATCTAAGGTCAAGAACTAGAAACCAATTTTGTCTATAAATAGAATGAAAAAAAAAAGCTAAACTTATACTTTTAGTTCGAAAGATTTGAATATACCTCAGTCGTGTTTCCAAAAATTACAATATCTCGACCATGTCATAAGCAAACACATGAAAATCCCATATAAAAATTTGTGTTGGATTACAATCTTTATTGTTTATGTATGTTAATTGGTAAAAAATATGTGGGAACATATATTTTCTTAGACATGATATTTTCACAGCTAGAAATCTGCAAAAATTATTAGACATGTCTGAAAAATATACATTTTTCTCATACATATTTGACATTTTCACAGATTCATGAATGCGGAAATCTCATATGTATGAGAAAATGTACATTTTCGTAGATACCTAGCTACGAAAATGTCAATTTCTCAGACATGCAAAAATGTAATATTAATGACATATCTTTTTAGTTGTTTTTAACAATTTATTTGGTAACATAGCATGAGTACTTATTGGCTAGATGAATGCAAAGGCCAATGTATGTAATGTTAGACGAACTATAGACCGTTTAATAAGAAGAAGGCTTAAGTTATTTTGATGGGTGGACGTACCCAATGCTAAGGGATCAGTCCTTATTTACATGGTGATGTCGCACGAAGCTCGACCGGATGCTGATTTAGTCACACATGAGCGTTTATGATTTTTATTTGGTGAGAAAACGATGATGTTCGATGGGTGGAATTGTGTTATTCACCATATTCAAATTTGGCACTTGTCATCCGTATGTAAATAAGGAAATCAACCAAATTGATTCAATGTTTCGACAAACGTTGTTTTTGGTACCAAACATATAACTCGTTTAAATTGGTGATTTGGATCGACTTATCGATAACGATATTTTTTTTCCACATATCAAACGAGGATGTTGTAAGAACCTATTTACTTCACATTTTCTATGAAGGATTTTTAGGAAGGTAAAAGAAAGACATTAGATGGCATATACTTGCTAAGGATTTAGAGAAATATAATAGGTATGAAATTTACAATTCATGTGTGG